GGAAGGCAATCAAATGATTTTCTGAAATATACTGCGTTGTTATCTTCAAACATTTATTTGACTGCCTTCACGATTGAACTTTTAGCTGAAATTTGGTATGGCTAAACTAGACTTAATGAAGACGATGCGAAAACAATTTCATCAAAAACTTCCACCAGGATCCGCCTCAAAAGGCGACGGCGGAAAAGAGCCTCCTATGAAAGGGGTGATTTGCACTTTTTTGGTTAGTTCGAGAGCTTATTTGCCCATTTTCCCTTAATTTTATGGTTGTATTGTCTAAAGAATCATTTTAGTTATTTTTTCATAATTTTTTTCTTTATTTAATTAATTACATATATTTTAATTTTTTTTTATAAATCAGTTGAATAAGTCAATCCAACTATTTCAGCCAAAAATTCATAAATTTTAGCATAATCAGTCAATGCAACCAACTTGGGTAATTACCAAACATATTTTAATTGTAAAGAAAACCCCCGTTTTGATAGTAGCGGTTTGAGCAATTTGCTATTTGCTTTGCATTGCAAAACGCTGCATTTTGCTGCGGTTATGCAGCAATCCGTTGAAAAACAAACAGGACCAAAGTATAGTGCAAAATAATTATTCTTCACAACAATTAAATAGTGATACTGTGATAGCGTAGTACTTAATTAACAAGCCTTTAAAATATACTCATAACATTTTAAAATGTAATTTTGTTCCTTTTTGATGATATATGTGTCAACTTAAAGTTTTGTGTTTCCATTTTTAATTGTCTCATATTAATGTTCTATTTTTTGGAATAACAAAGGGTGTTAAATGATAAGATTATCATCAATTTTAAAATAAAAATAGAAACAATCCCACTAATATTATTCATGTGGATAAAAATGTGACTATAATTGTCTTTGAAGTTACTACCGTGTAAACTTTATACACAATTGTAGTCACTAAAACTTGGGGGGGAGGGGGGGCTGTTGTAATAGGAATTAGTGATAAAATTTTAAAAATCCATCGATTTTAAAAGTGTATGTGTATTCAATATGGACTTCTAAAATTCTACAAAAGTTTAGGTGTATTCAAATTAGACTATGAAAAGTCTAGTCGTATCCGAACTTGCATTCATTCTTATTTACTTCTAAAATCATGAATTCTTGTGGACTTTTAACTCATTCAAATTATAATTTCAAATTAATAAATTTCAAATTTAAATATAAAAGTCTATCGTTAAACCACTAACACATAAAATTATTATTTCATATTAATAAATATATAAGCGTAAATAAATATACAAAATTTAACAAACTAAAAATGAAAAGAAAACAATAATTAAGAAGAAAAACTCGATTACACCTATGTTTGTACCACATCTAGCAACGAGTGTAATACTTGTGTAACGATTAATGTTTTTACTCATTGACTTGTGTAATATAGCAATTGATCATAAATATAGCGAGATTGTTGAGCCTTCTCGAAACTTTGAGTTTTCTTTTTAATAAAAATAAATTTAGATTTCTATGCTTTAATTCATTTTTTTGTAGAACTCTATGTTGCTAGATGAATTAGATTTGTTTTATTTATTTATTTAATTGTTTCTTATCCTATTATATTGAGAAGTGACTCATAGTAGGACTAATACATAACATTTTCCTCAAAGTATGATCATATGTTTGATTTTTCATAAATAGGACTAAATATGACATTTCTACCGCTAATTTAATTAACTAATATAATTAATTGCCCCTTATTCCCTTGCAATGCATAACCAAAGTCATTTTGTTGGTGGCGGATCACTCAAATATGGCGGCGGCGAGTTTCACTTACAGAGGCAGGTAAGCAAATCGGTACCGGCAATCTAGGTGAAAATTCTAACGATTGGCAGTGGCGATCCGGATTTAAAAGTTTATGGACTTTCCGAAAGTCTATAAACTTATCCATAAATTTAAAAGTCAATAAAAGTCATTCATAGAAAAGTCAATGGATTCAAAAGTCCATTGACTTTTTTAAAAGTCCATGGATTAAAAAAAGACCGCCACAGTCCACCAATCCATATTCGTCCAGAACTTTTTATTAGTAATATTTTAGGAAAAACTTTATGACTCATTATAAGGTCATTATTCATCGATTACTAAACCCAATTGTTTGCTCTAATTATTTACCATTGTAATATTACTCTTTCCTATATTTTTATTCAAATAATTTTTTAATCGTGTACCTAAATAATCCCGATCTTTTTCTATGAGCGTCTTAATATGGGAATGAGCAAACATTTGGTTATGTGCTTTCTTCATTGAAATAATGACAAATATATGATCAAGATAAAAATAATTGACAAAAGTATGACTTAGTAACTATTATAGTAACTTTAGTGACCATAATTGTATTGAACTATATCATTATAGTGACTATGCGTAATTACTTTTTTTTTACTCCAGGGGCATCTGGGAGAGGGGGGCTGGGGGCCCTGCAGTAATCAGGGCTGAAACTCACTCAATTAAGTTTCAAACCCTTATGTGCCTAGCGGGTTTCGAACTCAAGATCTCTCATTAGGCAACCTCACAACCAGCTGGGCAGGAATGTTTGGTTACTATGTGTAACATATAATAATATGTTTGTCCATTAGTTTATATTTTGGTAGGGTTGGATTCGGTTCGGGCCACCCGGCCCGTGACCCGGCCCGGCCCGGCCCGGTACTGTGCGGGCCCGGGACCTGCCCGGTCGGGCGGTCCGGGACCGGATATGGGCCCGAACCGGTGTGAAGGGGCGGGGCGGGCTCGGTGCTGGAATAATGTGACCCGGCCCGGGTCCGGTCTTATTTTAAAAAAAAAAATTGTTTGGTTGGGCTACTAGCCGTTGGGGGTGGGGCTGGGGACAACCCAAACGGCTATATAGCCGTTGGGTGGGGTAAAGGGGGGGTCCGGGGGGGTTGGCTGGTGGGGGGGGGGGGGGTGGGGGTAAAAACCTATAAATACTCCTAATCTTAAACATTTTTTCATATCTCTTCTCCAATTCTTCCTAAATCCTATTCTTAACTCTCTACTCTCTAATTCTCTTATTCTCCAATATATTATATTTATTATTTATATATCTACTTTATAGTTTATACTTAAGAAGTTAAGATGGAAAATCAAGATGCCATTATACGGTATAATTTTGATAAGCAGAAGGACCCGAAGACCGGCATGTGGTACGCAATTTGCAAATGGTGCGAGAAAAAATGTAGCATGGGGGCTTCAGGCGGATTCGGGATGGCAATCAAGCATATGAAGTCATGTGACAAAGCCAAAGGATCGGGAGGTGCGGGAAGTTCCGATTGATTACAATTTTTAAAATGTTTATCTCTTAAAGTTTGTTTTAATTTTCAAATGTAGTTCCTATTTCATTTCAAATAAATGCAATTGAAGTTTGTTTTTAATACTCGTATAAAACTATAAACTATAAAATATAAATTATAAAAAAAAATTAACCGGCCCGGCCCGAACCGGACCCGACCCGTGACCCGGGCGGGTGGCCCGGCCCGAACCGGACCCGTCCAACCCTCGGGCCGGTCCCGGGCCCATGTCATACAACCCGGCGGCCCGACCGGGCCTAGGCCCGGCCCGAGTCCAACAATATATTTTGGTAGTATTTAAGGAAAAAAAAATTCTTCTTTTATAATAACAATTTTTAAATGATTTTAATGATAAATATATGATGCGTAGTACGTAGTATTTATTTATTTTGAAACTGAGATTGGATTTTTTTTATAACAAATGAAGATTATTTCTAAACTTTCATAGTTTTTATTCATGATAGTATTTGATAATGGATTTTAATGATAATATTTATAGATCACAGTCTTTACTCATGCGATTAATGATACAATGAGTTCATCGATTGTCATGGTCATCAAGTATTTAGATTCTTCAATGGGTACGTGCACAATGTAGTCAAATTTAGAATCCAAATAACGAAGCATTTTCACAATCACCCAAAGTTTCACCATTTTCTTTTAGTTTGATAACTATGTACAATACCCATGAAAAATATTCTGGAACTCGTTTTGTATCTAATTTGTGTACTTTTTCATACTCCCCTCAAAGTATATTATGCTAATCCATTTTCATCTTGTCATCTCCCTTGTATTTAATTAAAATTACGTAAATTATTTAAATTATAGATGATATTAGTTAAATGTAAGTATTATTTAATTCAAATGAGTTTATATATGCTTAAATGTAATTATAGGATTTGTTTATTAGCAAATTTTGTTAATACCTAATTTAGGATTTATAATGATTTAATTTAGGGTCAGTTAATTGAAACATTACTTAAGTGTGATGAATTATTATTGTGAATTACCTAAATTAGTTAAAAAAATTATAATATTAGTTAAATTTAAGTATTATTTAATTCAAATGAGTTTATAAATATATATATATATATTCAAATTATTGGATTTATTCATATTATTTAATTTAGTGAATTGTTAAATGTGTATTATTAATAAGATTAAGATGCTGATTATTTTAGTATTGTGGATTAAATGCCATTAACGTATTATTTCTAGTTTAATAATATAAATTGGACGTTAGTTAATTTTAGGGAATTTTAGTGAAATTTAACATATAAATGTTCCTACACATAAAAAATTATTTTTAATGTTTATGAATTAATTAATGTCATTAACGTAATAATTTAGTGTATTTAGTGTTGAAATGATTAATGACATTATATTAACATATTAGTTCTAGTAAATTAATTGCATTGAACTTTAATTAGTGAAATTTAATATATTAATCATAATAATCCACATATGTTGGTAATGTTTATAATTCAGAATTTTTAACTTGTATAATTTTTTTATTATAATATTCGGGCATAATATATAGACAAAATAGAATTTGAATGTATGATAAACATGCGGTATTGTACGGAATGCAATCAAATTTTCTTGAAAGAGTTGGGGAGTGATAGTCCCTGTTTCTGTAACAGCAATGAATAGCAGTATAACAAAGAAGATTAAACGTAAGGATGAACACAGATGAATCGATGTAAAACCCTCTTTGATATACCGTGAACTCGTACACAGAAAGATTTGCGTAAGGCTATAATGAACAAGTACGAAAGTTAACCTAATCCTGAACCTTCGGCTCCCTTTTTATAGGCGAGGTTCAGGTAGGCGTGAAAGGCTTTTAGCCTGTTTGTATGGGCCTAACACTTGGCCCATATTCTATCTAATAAATGCACTTATTTAATACAAGGAATAATAATAAAACTAATCTATTACAAGATAGATGACAAACTTGATTCACAATTAAATGATCTTCAACAATCTCTCCCTTTGTGATCAAGTGCCACTGAGTTATTGCTTCTGTGATTTAAAATAGTGCTTCCTCATATTCAGTGCATGCTCGTATTGCCTTAGCATGTTTCTCTTTTCTAGGCGATCGTCGATGGCTTTTAAAATGGTCTCCACTGTAGAGTGTTCCTTTTGAACGTATGACGATGCCTCCTGAAGATTTTGCTCTAGCTGTTCCTTCATCTTTAGCAGCTTTTCTTTGATTATCTTCAGCGTTCCATCACAATATTTCTCAATTTCATTAACCACCATCAGGCATTTTTCGTTCTTGTGGTTGAGATATGTGACTGCTGGCGGTGTGAAGAAGATGTGGTAAGCTGGGAAGTCTTTGAGGTCTGGACCATACAGTCTTGGCTTTGTAAGATTTGTTTTTGTCAAGTTGCACTCAATAGCCATCTGTAGGTCGTGAGATGAGTGCACTCTGATTTGTCTGAGCATGAAGCTTTTGATTGCTGCAAGGCCTTCGCTGTATGTTTTGCTTTGTCTGACTGGAAGGTATCGATAAGCCATAAACATTTGATAGATGTCGTCTGGTTTAAACATGATGAAATCATTTTCTTGGCAAGTAAATTCACTCCCATCAGTGCGTTGAAGCTTGTAAGAATAGAATCTCACTCCGTGATAATCCTCAGCCTTAACCTGCAGGATTTGATGAATAGGGAGAATATTGGATTTCAAGTCTTGTTCCATCAGCTCTCTTTGAGTACCGGTTGACCTTTGCAACAGCATATGTAGATGACCTCCAGCCTGCTTTCCTTTGAGATGGGTAAGGCCTCGTAGCTTCAGTTCATTCAACGGGTTGACTTTGTCTGGTCTACGCCAAATACGCTCTCTGATTTCCTCTTGGAAGGGGGCTTTGATTCGAACATTGTCCCAAGGTTTCTCAGTCTTGGGAAGTCTTCCCGTTGATTGTCTGACGAAAGATTCCAGTGTTTTCTGAGATTCCTTGTAGTTCTCCCATTCCTTTCGTTCATCGTCCTCGAGCCTGATTATATCTTCAGCACATTTGTTGATGAGTTCTCGTAGGAACCAGTTCCTTTGCATATCTTCACACTCTTCATCCTGCATGATTTGATCCATCTCTGTCCACTGTCTGGGCCATTTGTTGTGAATAATGATATCTTCTAGCTGATCATGCATTTAATCTGACGACAGAATGGTAGTGGCAGGTTGACCTTTTGGAGACGGGGGCCTGTTAATCGAAACACCGGGTTCACTAGGATTTCCTGTTGTCATCAGCTTTGAACGGGGTTCTAACTGATGGCCTGATGTAAAAGATGTACCAGTGGTAGCATCATCAGGACTTCCATCCCCTCCTCGGTTGGTATCTCTAGGAGATACGCCTCGGGATGTTGCGTCTAACTCGACCAGGCTAGAGAGTTTGGTTGCGGGTGGTGGCTGTTGGTTGGTAGAGGTTTCTGGTTGAATGGGCTGTGGAGTTTGGCTAGGTAAAGCAGTTTTCTCAAGTGGTCGTGGCCGCTTGTTCTCCCCCTCATGAGGATCCGAATCATCGGGGTCCTCATGGGAACGTTTGCGACCACGAGGATTGTCCTTGCATTTGCTTTTGGTTTCAGGAGAAGAAAGGAGGGCTTCGAGAATGGCTTGCTGGTGGAGGGTAAGTTTGGCTTCAGGGATGTTTAGAAGATGGTCCAGCAAAGCCGATGCCAGGGTTTCGAAAGGTAGTGAAGAGAGATCGATGAAGGGTGTGGTCGGGCGTGGGGAGAATACTAGTTCTGTATCCTGGGTTCCCCGAGAATGTGAAGGAATGGGTATTTGATTGATGGATTGGTGAGATAGAGGGGTGGAGGATACTGGTTGTGTTCTGACGCTAGGCTGAGGCTTTGACTTAGCAGCTTTGTCATTTTTAATCTTAGCCCTTTTCTCCCGGATAACTACATCTTTGGAATTCTTGATAGTATGGGCTGCTTCATCATAGTCATCCTTGGAGCAGTTTGTTTCTCTGGGATCGCTTTTTGGTTTAGTCAGCTCTTTGATAGTGAAGACTTTGGGTCTGCCTGCGATTATTGGTGTTGCGTCTTCAGCAGTGATCTTCTTTGGAGATTCGACATGCAGCTTTCCTTTTCGGATTAGAGCATAGGTGTGCTCAACGTCTTCACTGTCATCATCATCATCATCATCAGAGCCAGAATCCTCGCTATCCGTACCCACGCTCTCGGATGCCTCATCGTCAGTGTTTGTTTGGGCATCACTTGATGACTCATCGGCAGATTCCTCAACGTCTGTTTCGGTGCCCTCAGCCGTCTGACTCGTCTCGAGAGAGTCGTCAGACTTTCCTTCATGGGGCAAACCGGCACTGGTTTCTGTGGCTTCTGGACTTTCTTACATTCCGCTTTGTCCCCTGGGTAGGTCCAGCTGGGTTTTGCTGAACCATAGGGACAGTTCTCTCAATATTCTCTTGGTACTGTTTGACTGCCGGATTTGATGATTTGACGAGTTGGAGCAGAATCCCAGGAATCCGTAGACCGAAGACAGGGTTTTTGTCTGCTTTGAAGTACTGCAGCTTCGGGGCGGTGTAGTGTGGATCAGCACTGCGTCTCGGGATGTTGGTGTGCTCTGCCATGCAATCATGAATGATCAGCCCTAGCCACCTTGCGTATGGGATGGTACCTAGCCTGTTTTTCTCTTTCGCTTTGACCAGGTCCATGAGCTCTGAGAAAAAGAGTGGTGTCATGTCGTAGTTTTTGTTGAATGCAATGCCGTGAAAGATTAGCAGGATCTGCTTGTTGCACTTGTCAAACCCGGCATGCTTTGGCGACAGGCACTTATTCATCAGTCCGAATAGACTCTTCCACGGGTGATGGAGATAGGCTCCGTTGAAGTTTGACAGTTGTGGCAGTAGTGAGGTGTATCCGAGAGATGCCACGTCTTTGAGCAGATCAGGGATGGATGACAGCGCATCATACGAGTCATGAACTGGCAGCGCTAGTGTAGATCGCAATGTAGACGTTGTCAGAATTACGCGCATGCCATTCAGTTTGGACTTGATTCTGGAGCGGTCCTTCGTTGATTCAGTATGCATGTGGCCCCAAAGTTGTTGTAGGTATATCTCTGGCACTGGTTTAGCGTTGTGAAGTGCAAGCCAGAGATAGTGACCATTCATTATGGCCGGAATGATCGGGTTCTGGCACTTGAAGACGGTGATGTCTAGCTCGAAGTTATTGTCCAGCACCTTGATCCACTTGCCCTTAGGGTAGATGGCATCGTCAATCTGTGGTTGACGTGTTCCTGCCATTATGAACTGTAAAAGCAGGGGGTCAGCATATGAAATTCATCGGTTTGATTTCTCTGAGATTAGATTGAAAGAGTTTTGGTTTGCAGGTTTCAGACAATTTATGCGGGTGGAATTTTTGAAAAAACATTTCAAGTCCAAATCTCGATATCCAAATCTCGAGATCAAGATTTCGAGATCCAAATCTCGAGATCAGTATTTCGAGATCCAAATCTCGAGATCAAGATTTCGAGATCCAAATCTCGAGATCAAGAACTTTTTCATCCAATGCATTAGTAAACAAGTCAGCCAGTTGAAGCTCTGAGCTTACAGAGTGTTGGAATCCCTACTTAATTGGAGAGGTTCTAGAAAATTCTAGAGCTTTCTAGAGAAGTATAGAATTTTCTAGAACGTTGCGGAGAATCCTAGAGAAGTCTAGAACTCTCTAGAAGCTTGCGGAATAATGTGGAATCCTCTGGAATATTCTAGAGATGTGTGGAACCTTCCGGAAGCTTATGGAAGAGTATGGAAGCATATGGAAGAGAATGGAGAGGTGTAGAGATTTCTTGGAATTCTTTAGAATAGGTAGTCACGTAGATCATTCTAGAGAAATATTCTCCACCACTCATTATGGAGGTGGAGTAGTATAAATAGGAGTAGGAGCCTTCATTCCTATCCATCTCAATCCTAATCCTAGCAATCCTAGCAAGAGAGAATCCACTTCCTAGAGTGAGAAAGCTAGAGAGTTAGAGAGCCTCTTTGAGAGAGAAGAGAGTTAGCTTGGGAAGGTCATATCCTCAAGCTTGAGTGAGCCACCATTGAGTGAGACATTACTACCTTAATTCCTAAGTGCCTATCTTAATTTCACGAAGCGGGAAATTCCGGAGTTTTTTCCCAACAGTGGTATCAGAGCCAGGTTCATTTGAGGTTGTCATCAGCTCGTATAGTTCAAGATGGAGGATAACGTCGCCCATGATGGAGACATGTTCAAGCTAACTGCCAACAACTACTCATATTGGAAGCCAATGATGGAAGACCATTTATACTGCAAGGATTTGCATGAGCCCATCATCTACAAAGAGAAGGTGGAAGGCAGGAGTGACGCTCAATGGGAGCTACTGAATCGGAAAGCCGTTGCTATGATCCGTAAGTACATCGACAAATCCCTCTTCGAGCATGTGTCCACTTACACGAATGCTTATGAATTATGGACAAAACTTGAGTCCATGATTCAAAAGAAGACACCTCGTAATAAAGCCAATTAATTTCGACGGTTGGTGAAATTGGAGTATAAGGATGGCCAAAGTATGATTGAACACTTGAATAACATCAAGGGGCTCATAAATCAACTAACAAAAACCGAGATGAAGATTGATGACGAGTTGCAAGCCCTTCTACTCCTTAGTTCCTTGCCAGAAAGTTGGGACACACTCGTGGTTACACTTAGTAACTCAGCTCCGGAAGGAAGGCTAACCATGGACACCGTCAGTGATAGTCTTCTTGGCGAAGAATCAAGGAGAATGGAACGAGGTGAGTCTATGCATCCCGAGGCTAATGTTATCGAGAACCGGGGTAGAAATGAGACTCGTGGACGCAGTAAAAGCCGAGATCCGCAATAATCTCGAGGTAGGTCCAAGTCACGCTCGAAGATCACATGCTACTACTGTGGAAGAATAGGCCACAGGAAAATGGAGTGTCGATCCTTCAAGAGAGACCAGAAGGCCGGTAACGTCAAACCAGACCAAGTCACCCCAACGAAGAAGTAAGAAGAGAAGAGTACCACTGCCGTAGTCGCAAAAGAAGATCTGCTATATCTCGTTGGAGAAGGTAATATCCTAAACATTGCTTGTGATGATAGCTCCTGAATTATCGATTCTGGTGCTTCGTTCCATGTCACTCCCCATGGAAGTTTCTTCTCATCCTACCAAAGTGGTGACTTCGATACGGTTCAAATGGGAAACCAAGATAGGAGCAAGATCGTTGGGATAGGAGACATCGTCCTGACAACTAGCACCGGATGCAAGCTTGTTCTCAAAGATGTGAGGCATGTCCCGGCCATGCGCCTCAATCTTATCTCCGCTGGAAAGTTAGATGATGCTGGTCTGATGAATTATTTTGGTGAAGGAAAATGGAAGCTCACCAAAGGAAGTCTAGTCATGGCTAGAGGAAAGAAGGAAGGATCGTTGTATGTGATGCAAGCTAAGCTCTGCAAAGGAGAGGTAAATATAACCACTGATGACATGGAAGTATGGCATAAACGACTTGGTCACATCAGTGAGAAGGGCCTTCACATACTTGCTCGAAAACAACTCCTCCCGGACGTGAAAGGTAATTCACTTGATCCTTGTGCACACTGTTTAGCTGGAAAACAACAAAGGGTTTCTTTCCAAAGATCTTCTCTGCCCACAAGGAGAAAGAACATCCTCGGCCTTGTACACACCGATGTGTGCTCAATGTCCGAGAGATCTATTGGTGGTGCGTTGTACTTTGTGACCTTCATTGATGATCATTCAAGGAAGGTATGGTTGCACCTGTTACAATCAAAGGATCAAGTACTTGACGCTTTCAAGGAATTCCACGCTCTTGTAGAACGTGAGACAGGAAGGAAGATCAAGTGTGTACGATCTGACAATGGAGGTGAGTATAGAGGTCCCTTTGAAGCCTATTGCAAGAAATATGGCATTGGGCTAGAGAAGACTCCACCCAAGACACCACAATTGAATGGGCTAGCTGAGAGAATGAATAGAACTATTGAAGAAAGAGTCCGTTGTGTGCTCTCTCAGGCTAAGTTACCCAAATTCTTTTGGGGAGAAGCTATAATGGCCGTAGTTGACATCGTCAACCTCACACCATCGGTTCCTTTGAACGGCGCCATCCCAGAGGAAGTATGGACGGGCAAAAAGGCTTCATACAATCATCTTAAGGTGTTCGGGTGCAGAGCATTTGTTCACATCCCCAAAGATGAGCGAGCTAAGCTCGACGCAAAGACGAAGGAGTGCATATACCTTCGCTCACCCAAGGATGAATTCGGTTATCCGTTATGGGATCCAATCAACAAGAAGGTTGTTCGTAGCAGAGATGTGGTGTTCTTCGAAGACCAAACAATTGAAGACATTAAAAACTCGGAGAAGCCAAGATTGAGAAGCAGCAGGAGCACCGGACCATAAGCCTGTTAGAGCAAAGAAACCAGGAGACTCATGATGAACCAACTCAGGAAGATCCTCAATCTAGTTCTCTGCCAGCACCAGAGCCGAGGCGATCCTCAAGGGAGAGAAGACCATCCACTCGGTACAACACCGAGGAGTACGTGATGCTCACGGATGAGGGGGAGCCACAAAGTTATAAAGAAGCAATCTGTGATGTTCATAAGGAAGAGTGGAGAAGAGCCATGCAAGAAGAGATGTAATCCTTGCATGAGAATCACACTTATGAACTTGTGGAGCTGCCAAAAGGGAGAAGAGCCTTAAAGAATAAATGGGTGTATCGAATCAAGACCGAAGACAATAGCTCAAAGCCTCGTTACAAAGCTCGATTGGTTGTCAAAGGATTCAATCAAGAAAAAGGTATCGACTTTGAGGAAATATTCTCTCCTGTGGTAAAGATGTCATCCATCCGAGTTGTTCTTGGCCTAGCAGCGGCGCAAGATTTGGAGATTGAACAACTCGATGTCAAGACAGCGTTCCTTCACGGCGACCTAGAGGAAGAGATCTACATGGAGCAGCCCGAAGGGTTCAAAGTTCCGGGCAAGGAAAACCTAGTATGTCGCCTCATGAAGAGTCTATATGGCCTCAAACAAGCACCGAGACAGTGGTACAACAAGTTTGAGTCCTTCATGGCAGAGCATGATTTTACAAAGACAAAGAGCGATCATTGTGTCTTCATAAAGAGGTATGCAAGTGGCGACTTTCTCATACTTCTACTCTATGTTGATGATATGTTGATTGTTGGACAAGATCACGTAAAGATAGATGCTTTGAAGAAAGATCTAAGCAAGAGCTTCGCCATGAAAGATTTGGGACCGGCTAAACAAATCCTTCGGATGAGAATAACTCGTCTGTAGTAGGCACTTGCTGGACACTTCAGGTTGAGTTCGAAGCAAAGTCCCACAAGTGAGAAAGAAAAGGAGGAAATGAAGAAGATTCCATACTCATCTGTAGTAGGCAGACTCATGTATGCAATGATATGCACAAGACCAGATATCGCCTATGCAGTTGGAGTCGTTAGTCGTTTCTTGGCCAACCCTGGGAGTGAACATTGGGTAGCGGTCAAATGGATCCTCCGGTATTTATGTGGAACTTCCAAAAGATGTTTATGGTTTGGAAAAGGAAAACCTGTGTTAGAAGGATACACAGATGCAGACTTGGCCGGTGATATTGATTCAAGGAAATCAACATCGGGATACCTAACTACTTTTGCAGGGGGGCTGTTTCCTGGCAATCAAAGCTGTAAAAGTGTGTTGCATTATCCACCACAGAGGCAGAGTACATCGCAGCTACTGAAGCTTGCAAGGAGATGATGTGGATGAAGAATGTGTTGCTCGAGCTGGGAATAGATCAAGAAAGGTACGTGTTGAAGTGTGACAATCAAAGTGCAATTTACTTGGCGAAGAACTCAACATTTCATTCCCGCACGAAGCACATTGATACAAGGTATCATTGGATCCGAGAAGTCCTCGAAGAAAAGAAATTGCCTCTTGACAAGGTTCACACAGACGAGAACTGGTCAGACATGATGACCAAGGTTATACCGACAAAGAAGTTCGAAGATTGTTGTCAAGGTGCAAGTTTGCTACAACCCCCCAATTAAGTTGGGAGGGGGAGATTTGTTGGGATCCCTACTTAATTGGAGAGGTTCTAGAAAATTCTAGAGCTTTCTAGAGAAGTATAAAATTTTCTAGAACATTGCGGAGAATCCTAGAGAAGTCTAGAACTCTCTAGAAGCTTGCGGAATAATGTGGAATCCTCTGGAATATTCTAGAGATGTGTGGAACCTTCCGGAAGCTTATGGAAGAGTATGGAAGCATATGGAAGAGAATGGAGAGGTGTAGAGATTCCATGGAATTCTCTAGAATAGGTAGTCATGTAGATCATTCTAGAGAAATATTCTCCACCACTCATTATGGAGGTGGAGTAGTATAAATAGGAGTAGGAGCCTTCATTCCTATCCATCCCAATCCTAATCCTAGCAATCCTAGCAAGAGAGAATCCACTTCCTAGAGTGAGAAAGCTAGAGAGTTAGAGAGCCTCTTTGAGAGAGAAGAGAGTTAGCTTGGGAAGGTCATATCCTCAAGCTTGAGTGAGCCACCATTGAGTGAGACATTACTACCTTAATTCCTAAGTGCCTATCTTAATTTCACGAAGTGAGATACAACAAAGATCCAATGATGGCCCTGTAATTCGTAGCATCAACTGGCTTTCCGGAGGGGTCTGGTCCAGTTTATTGTTTGGGGACATAGGGGTCGTCATGGAAGATTTGCCTTCAATGTTGAATTTCTTTGGCAAATCCAGAATGTATTTGGACTGATTGATGAAAATGCCATCAGAGAGTTGTCTTACTTGCAGGCCTAAGAAGAAGTTAAGTTCACCCATCATGCTCATCTCTAACTTTGTTTTCATCAGTTTCTCAAAATGTTGGCAAAGGTGTGGGATTGATGAGGCAAAGATGATGTCATCGACATAGATCTGAATCAGAATGATGTCAGATTTCTGTCGCTTGATAAACATAGTAGTATCAATCTTTCCTTTAGAGAAATCTGAATCAATCAAAAATTCGGTCAAGGCATCGTACCAAACTCTGGGTGCCTGTTTCAACCCATAGAGAACTTTCTTGAGCTTGTATACATGGTTTGGGAATTTTGGATCTACAAATCCTTCAGGTTGAGCAACATAGACTTCTTCTTCTAAAGTCCCATTTAGAAAAGCTGTTTTCACGTCCATCTGAAAGACGGTGAAGTTTTTGTGCGCTGCGTACGCAAGAAAGAGGCAGATTGCTTCAATTCTAGCTACGGGCGCAAACGTTTCATCGTAGTCTATGCCTCCCTGTTGATGATATCCCTTTGCGACCAGCCTTGCCTTGTTCCTTACAACTGTTCCTTCTTCATCCTTTTTATTTTTGAATACCCACTTCGTGTCAATGATAGTCTTTCTCTGAGGCTTGGGTACCAGTGACCATACATCCAGTCTGTCAAACTGATTGAGTTCATCTTGCATCGAATCACCCAATCTGGATCAAGTAGTGCATCAGAGACTTTTGATGGTTCTGACTGGCTTAGGAAGCATGCGAAGTGGCATTCATTCATCGTTGCGGATCTTGTGCGCACACCTTGACTTGGAGCACCTATTATCTGATCAACGGGATGTGCTCTCGTCCATTTCCTCTCATGAGCTAGAGGAGTTGGAGTAATGATTGGTTGATCCGAGTCCTGATAGGAGTTTGAGGGCTCTGGAGCAGCTGTGGTGTGCAGTGGAGATGATTCTGGACTTGTAGCAAAACCGTGATCATCCACACCTCTGAGATTGGATTGAGGGGTTGAGGGTGTGGATGGTACATCGTCTGTGCCTGTGAGGAGCGGAATCTCTGCTGTTGGAGTTGATGTTGAAGCTGGTGAGCATGGAGGAGGTGGAGATTGTGAGTTCTCGTAGAAGTTTCTGAAAAGAGAATCGAGAATCACATCTTCGTGTTCTATGTTTGGTTCAGCTTTATCAGAAGCCACTGGTACAGCATGTGATGGATCAGCCTGTAGATGTTCGATTGCGAAATCTGCCATTTCATAGAATGTAACATTTACACTCTCGATGCCAGTGCGCTTGTCTCTTAGATAGACTCTGTAAGCTTTGGAGTGCAGTGAGTAGCCAATAAACACGCCTTCTCTGGCTTTGGGGTCCAGCTTACTTCTCTCTGTCCGATCATTTAGTATGAAGCACTTGCAGCCAAAAACCTTGAAGAAAGAGATGTCGGGAGTTCTGTTGAAGAGAATTTCATATGGAGTCTTGTTGAAGCGTTTATGAATGGATGTTCTGTTCTGGGTGAAGCACGCAGTATTGATTGCCTCTGCCCACATGAAGTGAGGCAGTCTGGATTGGATTAACATGGTGCGTGCTGCTTCAACAAGGGTTCTGTTCTTTCTCTCAACAACTCCGTTCTGTTGGGGAGTTTTAGCTGCTGCAAATTGCTGAGTGATACCGAGAGATTCATAGATCTCAGTGAGAGTTTGATTTTTGAACTCGGTACCATTGTCAGTTCTTACAATTTGAACACTGTGCTGTAGCAATTTGTGGATGGTCCTGATAAAGGTCATAATGTTTTCTGCAGCCTCGTCTTTTGAACGGAGAAATTTTGTCCATGTGTACCTAGAGAAGTCATCAACGATCACCAGAGTGTATTTGCGACCGTTAATGCTTTGGACTCTCATAGGTCCACACAGATCCATGTGAATTAGCTGCAGCTGATGTGTAGATGATGGTACTGTTTTCGACTTGTGGGAGCTTCGCGTCATTTTGCCCATTTTGCAGGCACTACAATGATTTTCAGCGAAAGACTTTAACAGAGGAAGCCCATTCTTGGAGGACAGGATTGAAAGATGCTTGAAATTCAGATGGGAGAGACGTTTGTGTCATAGGTTGTTCTGTTCTGTTGAAGCTTTGGACAACAGACAGATGGAAGTGGTGGATTGAACGCTTTTCAGTTCAATAGTGTACAAATTTGATGTTCTGTAACACGTTAATAATGTATTCCCAATGCTGTCAAGAACACAGCATTGTTTTGCAAAGAACCTTACTCCCATCCCGCTGTCACAGAATTGCGCAATTCTGAGTAAGTTGTGTTTGAGCCCTTTGACAAATGAAACATCTTTGATAGTGACACTGGCACAGATGACGTCCCCATACCCTAGAATAGGAGATGAGGCATCATTCCCAAATCTGACATTGCCTCCGTAACAGTTGGTGTAGTTGCTCAATAGGTGTTTTATTCCGGTCATGTGGGTTGAGCATCCTGAGTCTAAGTGCCACACATGACCGTCCTGCAAAACAATCAAACAGGTTTAGGTACCCATCTTTGAGTGGGTCCTTCCTTATCAACAAAAAACACCTTTCTAAATCTTGCTTTTAGCTGTGATCCAAGATCAACAGCTTTTTCAACAAAAGATCTTTCTCTTGTGGGCTCTCCAATAGCCAGATCTGCTTTTGCAGTGGGTCTGGTTTTTGGAGCCCACTTAGCAGTTTCCATTTTGGTGGGTCCGATTTTGTGAACCCACCTTTCCGTTTTAGTCTTGGTGGGTCTGTTTTTGGGGACCCACCTTTCAGGTTCATTTTTGGTGGGTCTGCGTTTGGGGACCCACCTATCTGTTTCAGGCTTGGTAGGTCTCATCTTGGGGACCCATCTTTCGGTCTCAGTTTTGGTGGGTCTTATCTTGGGAACCCACATTTCAGTTTTAGGTTTTGGAGGAGAGTAGACATGAGCTTTGTGATTGAATGGTTGTTTCTTAAGTTTGGTTTTAAAAATTTCCTCTTTAGAAAGCCGATTAAGATGTTTCCTTGAATGAACTCGAAGAGCATATTTCATATCAGGTATACAAAATATTCCCTTAGAAGTTCTGTTCTCGGTTTCTCTTTTTGGTTTGAGCTTTCTGTGAGACTTTGCTTTAACAACATTCACATCACATTCATAATTATGGGGGTCTGGAACAGAATAACCATAAGCAATACTTGAATTATGAATTGAACGATGTCTAGAAGAAGTCTCAGAAATATTCAGCTTGGGACTCAAGACTGAACTACTAGAAGTTTGTTTCTCAGAGACAGAATTACAATTAACTTTAGAATAAAAAAATAGAACTAGATCTAGGGCTGGCTTTATTATCAAAAACTTTCTTTTTGCCTTCTGCGATTTCCTCCCTCTTCTTCCTCCACTCACTCTTCTCTTCTCCTTCCTTCTTCACTTCATTTCCTGTAAACAAAGGAGAAGAGAGATGAGTGGACGAACCTTTTAAAAACTTGGTTTTCATTGGTGAGGTGTGTGAACTGTCAGACTTATTATTAGAAGTAGAAGGGGCTGTTTTAGCATGATACTGCTCACTTAATTCATTGAACTTTTGAAGAAGTTCCTGCCAGTTGCTCTCAAAACCTCTCTTTTCAGTTTCAAATCTCTCTCTCGTTATCAAGAGTTTTCTGGAGGTTTTTGAGTTTTTGAGCCATAGGAAAAATACAAGGTCATCTCCAGTTTTAGAGATACCTACTCTTGGGGGTGGGTCTAGAATATGTCCTATGTGTGAAATATCTTTTGTATAAGGGTCAAGATTTTAACTAAAGCAGGAACTAGATTCTTTTTGTGAAAGTTGTTTTTCATTAACAGAGGGATAATCACAAGAAATCGCAGCTTTAGGGTTCTTTCTTTTTTCCTTCTTCTGCTTCAGCGTTTTCATCATCACTTCGAACATACATTTCCTCACCAAACCCTAGTCCCATGGGTTGGTTATGCCCAGTCCTATTCTAGGATTGTAAAATCGGTCATCCTTTATTCGATTAAGAAAAATTGTCTGTTCAGACTGACCTCTCTTAGCAGCTAGATCCTCTAGTTCTTTTATTTTATTTAAAAGTGTTCTTCTCTTATTATGCAAAAAGTCGCATTCAGCTTTTGTTGTGCTTTTTTCTCGTTCACTATCCTCAAAATTCTTAGTTAATTCAGCTATCTTAAGTTCAAAACTTTCAAAATCTGAGGACACCTTTTTGACCTGATCTTTCGCAATTTCAAGTTGAACACTTAGAGAAGACTTTTGGTCTAGATTCTGTTTCAGTATCCTGCGATTATTGTCTAATCTCTCCTTTAGTTCTTTAATTAGATTGTCCTTCTCAAGTAAGGACTGATTTTGATTATTTAAAGGAGTATGAGAGGTACTTACAGAGCTTGTTGATCATTCACTTTCGGGGATCGCAGCATCACCCTTTCTTTCATCTTTTTCCTCCACTCGTGCCATCGGGGCATAGTTTTCTTCCTCCTCCTCATCAGAAGTATCTTCTGCCCAGTTATCATTCTCAGCCATCATTGCAGAAGTTTCTTCTTCTTTCTGCACCATTTGCATTTTCTGCTTATTCCACAACATCTTCTGCTTGTAGAAGTTTGCATCCTTCTTCTTTGGGAGGCGACAGTCTTTGATGACATGTCCAGCCTTTCCACAATTGTAGCATTTGGGGGCATCTTCAGCCGATGGCACCTTCCTAGAAGATCCTTGTTCATGGTTCTTCTGTTTGTAGTTTGAGGAGTAGGTTCTCAGTTTGTTGGAGGAGCTGTTCTTCTTTGCAAATCTCTTGGCAAGCAGTGCCATCTTTTTCTGTAAGTCTGCAAGCTCAGTCTCCAGATCAGATTTGTCGTCATCACTTTCATCATCGTCTGATTCAACCACCACCTTCTTCTTTTTCTTCTTCTTCAGTGGTGTGGTTGTCCTTTGGGGCTGAGCTTCCATCACAAGAGCCAGGGGATTTGTGGTGTGATGATCCTCGGCACAAGCAACCTCATTGCCAAATTGGTTCAAATGTTCATATAGAGTGCAGAGGTCAATTTCATCCAAGTCAATGCGAGATCTAACATCCTTCACCGTATTTTCCCATGCAGGCTGGATAGAAATCTTATATTCAGTTCCAAGTTGGACCTGAATACTTTGATTTTTCTAAGTTCATTGGTTTTAAGGCTAATATGATCTAACCTGAATACTCTCGGGCCTGCTTTGAAGGAGTCATAAGCAATAAGAATTGTTGTCTTCTTGGTTTTAAGGCTAATGTTTGTGCCTTGGAGCAGTTTCTCTATCTCATCCCACATTTTCTTTGCTGTTTGCATGCTATCAATGAGAACATATACTTCGTTAGGTATTGCTTGAAGGAGGTACTTCGTTAGGTGGGTTGTTTTCTGGATCACCACCAACTGAAATCATCAGTTCAGCTGGTCCTTCAAGCAACGATTCAAGCATCGCAGCGGAGTTCTCTTTGTGCTCAAGGAAATTAAGGAATCGATTCCTCCACATTTGGTTTTCACCTTTCCTGAGACTGGGAGGAGTACTGCTGTTCCCTTGGGCATTGAATTCTGAGACCATTGATGTATAAAACTGACCGTTCGATATAATTGATCAAAAGATTTTCAGAGGCAGAATGTCGAAAATCAGATGTCGAGATCTGAATATCGAGATCTGGGATTTCGATAAAGGAGGCCCGGTTTCGAGATTTGATGTCGAGATTAGGATGTCGAGATTAAAGATCTCGAGATTTCAAATGTCGAGAAGAAGATCTCGAGATTTGAGATGTCGAGAAGTTAAGCTCGAAATCGTATTTCAAGAAGTCAAATGTCGAGACCTTAAAGTCGAAATCTTGATCTCGAGATCCTAGATGTCGAAATCCTCAATGTCGAAATCCTGCAAACTGTAAAAATCAGATAAGCAAAATCTGAAGGTAGTTTCTTGTAGAGTATGATGTCGAGATCCTCAGGTGAAGTTTTCAGCTCGAAATACTTGGCAGAACCTGCTTAAATCCTAGTTGTCGACAAAGCTATTCGAAATATCTCAAGTACAGAAATTGCAGAAAACGAAATCTGAAGTATACCCCTTGATCGCTTCGAAACGACGATTCTAAGGGTGTAACTTTTACAACTTTTTAATAAAAAACAAGATTACAGAGTAAAAAATCGACAGAAAGAACGTAAAGAAAAACAGAATCTTCTGCAGGCGTTCTTCTGATCGGCTCTCGATCGGCTCTGATACCAATTGATAGTCCTTGTTTCTGTAACAGCAATGAATAGCAGTATAACAAAGAAGATTAAACGTAAGGATGACCACAGATGAATCGATGTAAAACCCTCTTTGATATACCGTGAACTCGTACACAGAAAGATTTGTGTAAGGCTATAATGAACAAGTACGAAATTTAACCTAATCCTGAACCTTCGGCTCCCTTTTTATAGGCGAGGTTCAGGTAGGCGTGAAAGGCTTTTAGCCTGTTTGTATGGGCCTAACACTTGGCCCATATTCTATCTAATAAATACACTTATTTAATACAAGGAATAATAATAAAGTTAATCTATTACAAGATAGATGACAAACTTGATTCACAATTAAATGATCTTCAACAGGGAGTTTATTGCATTCACACTTGAACACCGGGCTTATATGAGTGGTGATAAAATCAGATGTCCATGTTCAAAGTGTAAAAATCTCAAATTTAAACACTCAGACGAAGTTGGGTGGGATTTGTACGCGGACGGTTTTGTTCCCAATTATTATAATTGGACTTCTCATTGCGAACCTTTGGATCCATCTGTTTTACTACAAACGGTAAGTTCTTCTCGTAACATCCCTGCAGAGATGAATGCGTGGGAAGACCCTACTGAAATGAGATGAGAGCAACGTATGGTATATGACGCATACGGTGCATCGATGTCTCAGTTCAACCCCCCACAACTATCTAACGATTCTCCTGAAGCCTCGACCTCGTATCAACCAGATGAAGATGAAGATCCGATATTTTATCAACCTTATGTAGATGAAGGTTTAGCTGAGAGATTTCAAGATGTTTTAAAAGCTGGCGATCAACCCTTGTATGCTGATTGTGAGGGATACTCTCAGCTATCCGCCGTTATAAATGTTGAAGATCATTTAATTGTGAATCAAGTTTGTCATTTATCTTGTAATAGATTAGCTTTATTATTATTCCTTGTATTAAATAAGTGCATTTATTAGATAGAATATGGGCCAAGTGTTAGGCCCATACAAACAGGCTAAAAGCCTTTCACGCCTACCTGAACCTCGCCTTTAAAAAGGGAGCCGAGGTGTCAGGATTAGGTTAACTTTCGTACTTATTCATTATAGCCTTAAGCGCAAATCATTCTGTGTACGAGTTCACGGTATATCAAAGAGGGTTTTACATCGATTCATCTGTGTTCATCCTTACGTTTAATCTTCTTTGTTATACTGTTATTCATTGCTGTTACAGAAACAGGGACTATCGATTGGTATCAGAGCCGATCGAGAGCCGATCAGAAGAACGCCTGCAGAAGAACTCTGTTTTTCTTTACGTTGTTCTTTCTGTCGATTTTTTACTCTGTAATCTTATTTCTTGTTAAAAAGTTGTAAAACTTACACTCTTAGAATCGTCGTTTCGAAGCGATCAAGGGGTATACTTCAGATTTCGTTTTCTGCAATTTCTGTACTTGAGATATTTCGAGTAGCTAGGTCGACATCTAGGTTTTAAACAGGTTCTGCCAAGTATTTCGAGCTGAAAACTTCACCTGAGGATCTCGACATCATACTCTACAAGAAACTACCTTCAGATTTTGCTTATCTGATTTTTACAGTTTGCAGGATTTCGACATTGAGGATTTCGACATCTAAATCTCGAGATCAAGATTTCGATTTTAAGGTCTCGACATCTGGTCTCGACATTTGACTTCTCGAAATAAGATTTCGAGTTTAACTTCTCGACATCTCAAATCTCGAGATCTACATCTCGACATTTGAAATCTCGAGATTTCAAAACTCGACATCCTAATCTCGATATCAAATCTCGAAACCGGACCTCCTTTATCGAAATCCCAAATCTCGATATTCAGATCTCGACATCTGATTTTCGACAACTCTGCCTCTGAAAATCTTTTGATCAATTCTCTCGAACGGTCAGTTTTATACAGCAATGGCCTTAGAATTCAATGTCCAAGGGAACAGCAGTACTCCTCACAGTCTCAGGAAAGGAAAATACCAAATGTGGAGTAATCGATTCTTTAATTTCCTTGAGCACAAAGAAAACTCCATTGCGATGCTTGAATCGCTGCTTGAAGAACCAGCTGAACTGATGATTTCAGTTGGTGGTGATCCAGAAAACAACCCACCTATTCTTCCAGAAATAAGACGGAAAGTGGCATCTGAATATACCGAAGCTAACAGGCTCAGGCTTCGAAGTGATCTCATGGCCAAGACGTACCTCCTTCAAGCAATCCCTAACGAAGTATATGTTCTCATCGATAGCATGCAAACAGCAAAGGAAATGTGGGATGAGATAGAGAAACTGTTCCAAGGCACAAGCATTAGCCTTAAAACCAAGAAGACAACAATTCTTATTGCTTATGACTCCTTCAAAACTGGCTCGGGAGAACCATTGAATGAGACTTACAACAGACTCGTCCAACTGGTCAATGAACTTAGAAAAATCAAAGTATTCAGGTCCAACTTGGAACTGAATATAAGATACCTATCCAGCTTACATCCTGCATGGGAAAAGACAGTGAAGGATGTTAGATCTCGGATTGACTTGGATGAAATTGACCTCTGCACTCTATATGAACATTTGAAGCAATTTGTCAATGAGGTTGGCTGTGCCGAGGATCATCACAGCACAAATCCCCTGGCTCTAGTGATGGAAGCCCAGCCCCGAAGGACAACCACACCACTGAAGAAGAAGAAGAAGAAGAAAAATGATGGTGGTTGAATCAGATGATGATGAAAGTGATGACGACAAATCTGATCTGGAGGCTGAGCTTGCAGACTTACAGAAAAAAGATGGCACTGCTTGCCAAGAAATTTGCAAAGAAGAGCAGCTCCTCCAACAAGCTTAGAACTTCCACCCCAAACTACAAACAGAAGAACCATGAACAATGATCTTCTAGGAAGGCTCCATCAGCTAAAGATTCTCCCAAATGCTACAATTGTGGAAAGGCTGGACATGTCATCAAAGACTGCCGCCTCCCAAAGAAGAAGGATGCAAACTTCTATAAGCAGAAGATGCTGTGGAATAAGCAGAAAATGCTGATGGTGCAGAAAGAAGAAGAAACTTCTGCAATGATTGCTGAGTATGATAACTGGGCAGAAGATACTTCTGATGAGGAGGAGGAGGAAGAAAACTATGCCCTGATGGCACGAGTGGAGGAAAAAGATGAAAGAAAGGGTGATGCTGCGATCCCCGAAAGTGAATGCTCAACAATCTCTGTAAGTACCTCTCATACTCCTTTAAATAATCAAAATCAGTCCTTACATGAGAAGGACAATCTAATTAAAGAACTAAAGGAGAGATTAGACAATAATCACAGGGTACTGAAACAGAATCTAGACCAAAAGTCTTTTCTAAGTGTTCAACTTGAAATTGCGAAAGATCAGGTCAAAAAGGTGTCCTCAGATTTTGAAAGTTTTGAACTTAAGATAGCTGAATTAACTAAGAAATTTGAGGATAGTAAACGAGAAAAAAGCACAGCAAAGGCTGAATGCGATTTTTTGCATAATAAGAGAAGAACACTCTTAAACAAAATAAAAGAACTAGAGGATCTAGCTGCTAAGAGAGGTCAGTCTGAACAGACAATTTTTCTTAATCGAATAAAGGATGACCGATTTTACAATCCTAGAATAGGACTGGGCATAACCAACCCATGTAATCTAAAGAAAGTTAATTGTCTTCAAATCTATAACAAAGATTAATGGGACTAGGGTTTGGTGAGAAAATGTATTTTCGAAGTGATGATGAAAACGGTGAAGCAGAAGAAGAAAAGAGAAAGAACCTTAAAGCTGCGATTTCTTGTGATTATCCCTCTGTTAATGAAAAACAACTTTCACAAGAAGAATCTAGTTTCTGCTTTAGTGAATGTCTTGACCCTTATGCAAAAGATATTCCACACATAGGACATCCTCTAGACCCACCCCCAATAGTAGGTATCTCTAAAACTGGAGAGGAACCTTGTATTTTTCCTATGGCTCAAAAACTCAAAAACCTCCAGAAAACTCTTGATAACGAGAGAGAGAGATTTGAAACTGAAAAGAGAGGTTTTGAGAGCAACTGGCAGGAACTTCTTCAAAAGTTCAATGAATTAAGTGAGCAGTATCATGCTAAAACAGCCCCTTCTACTTCTAATAATAAGTCTGACAGTTCACACACCTCACCAATGAAAACCAAGTTTTTAAAAGGTTCGTCCACTCATCTCTCTTCTCCTTTGTTTACAGGAAATGAAGTGAAGAAGGAAGGAGAAGAGAAGAGTGAGTGGAGGAAGAAGAGGGAGGAAATCGCAGAAGGCAAAAAGAAAGTTTTTGATAATAAAGCCGGTCCTAGATCTAGTTCTATTTTTTATTCAAAAGTTAATTGTAATTCTGTCTCTGAGAAACAAACTTCTAGTAGTTCAGTCTTGAGTCCCAAGCTGAATATTTCTGAGACTTCTTCTAGACATCGTTCAATTCATAATTCAAGTATTGCTTATTGTTATTTTGTTCCAGACCCCCATAATTATGAATGTGATGTGAATGTTGTTAAAGCAAAGTCTCACAGAAAGCTCAAACCAAAAAGAGAAACCGAGAACAGAACTTCTAAGGGAATATTTTGTATACCTGATATGAAATATGCTCTTCGAGTTCATTCAAGGAAACATCTTAATCGGCTTTCTAAAGAAGAAATTTTTAAAACCAAACTTAAGAAACAACCATTCAATCACAAAGCTCATGTCTACTCTTCTCCCAAAACTAAAACTGAAATGTGGGTTCCCAAGATAAGACCCACCAAAACTGAAACCGAAAGATGGGAGCCCCAAGATGAGACCTACCAAGCCTGAAACAGATAGGTGGGTCCCCAAATGCAGACCCACCAAAACTGAACCTGAAAGGTGGGTCCCCAAGAACAGACCCACCAAGACTAAAACGGAAAGGTGGGTTCACAAAATCAGACCCACTAAAATGGAAATTGCTAAGTGGGCTCCAAAAACCAAACTCACTGCAAAAGCAGATCTGGCTATTGGAGAGACCACAAGAGAAAGATCTTTTGTTGAAAGAGCTGTTGACCTTGGATCACAGCTAAAAGCAAGATTTAGAAAGGTGATATTTGTTAATAAGGAAGGACCCACTCCAAGATGGGTACCTAAATCTGTTTGATTGTTTTGCAGGACGGTCATGTGTGGCACTTAGACTCAGGATGCTCAACACACATGACCGGAATAAAACACCTATTGAGCAACTACACCAACTGTTACGGAGGCAATGTCAGATTTGGGAATGACGCCTCATCTTCTATTCTTGGGTATGGGGACGTCATCTGTGTCAGTGTCACTATCAAAGATGTTTCATTTGTCAAAGGGCTCAAACACAACTTACTGAGCATAGGGCAATTCTGTGACAGCGGGATAGAAGTGAGGTTCTTTGCAAAGCAATGCTGTGTTCTAGACAGCATGGGGAAAACATTATTAACGTGTTACAGAACATCAAATCTGTACACTATTGATCTGAAAAGCGTACAATCCACCACTTCCATCTGTCTGCTGTCTCTCCCAGACGTCTCTCCCATCTGAACTTCCATCTGTGGACCTATGAGAGTCCAAAGCATCAACGGTCGCAAATACACTCTGGTGATCGTTGATGACTTCTCTAGGTACACATGGACAAAATTTCTCCGTTCAAAGGACGAGGCTGCAGAAAACATTATGACCTTTATCAGGACCATCCAGAAACTGCAACAGCACAGTGTTCGAATGGTAAGAACTGACAATGGTACCGAGTTCAAAAATCCAATCCAGTCTGCCTCACTTCATGTGGGCAGAGGCAATCAATACGGCGTGTTTCACCCAGAACAGAACTTCCATCCATAAACGCTTCGACAAGACTCCGTGTGAAATTCTCTTCAACAGAACTCCTGACATTTCTTTCTTCAAGGTTTTTGGCTGCAAGTGCTTAATGCTGAATGATCGGACAGAGAGAAGTAAGCTGGACCCCAAAGCCAGAGAAGGCGTGTTTATTGGCTACTCACTGCAGTCCAAAGCTTACAGAGTCTATCTAAGAGACAAGCGCACTGTCATCGAGAGTGTAAATGTTACATTCTATGAAATGACAGACTTCGTGATCGAACATCTACAGGCTGATCCATCACATGTTGTACCAGTGGCTTCTGATAAATCTGAACCAAACACAGAACACGAAGATGTGATTCTCGATTCTCTTTTCAGAAACTTCTACGAGAACTCACAATCTCCACCTCTTCCATGCACACCAGCTTCAACATCAACTCCAACAGCAGAGATTCCGCTTCTCACAGGTCCAGACGATGTACCATCCACACCCTCAACCCCTCAATCCAATCTCAGAGGTGTGGATGATCACGGTTTTGCTACAAGTCCAGAATCATCTCCACTGCACACCACAGCTGCTCCAGAGACCTCAAACCCCTATCAGGACTGAGATCAACCAATCATTACTCCAACTCCTCTAGCTCATGAGAGGAAATGGACGAGATCACATCCCGTTGATCAGATAATAGGTGATCCGAGTCAAGGTGTGCGCACAAGATCCGCAACGATGAATGAATGCCACTTCGCATGCTTCCTAAGCCAGTCAGAACCATCAAAGGTCTCTGATGTACTACTTGATCCAGATTCGGTGATTGCGATGCAAGATGAACTCAATCAGTTTGGCAGAGTGGATGTATGGTCACTGGTACCCAAGCCTCAGAGAAAGACTATCATTGACACGAAGTGGGTATTCAAAAATAAAAAGGATGAAGAAGGAACAGTTGTAAGGAACAAGGCAAGGCTGGTCGCAAAGGGATATCATCAACAGGGAGGCATAGACTACGATGAAACGTTTGCGCCCGTAGCTAGAATTGAAGCAATCTGCCTCTTTCTTGCGTACGCAGCGCACAAAAACTTCACCGTCTTTCAGATGGACGTGAAAACAGCTTTTCTAAATGGGACTTTAGAAGAAGAAGTCTATGTTGCTCAACCTGAAGGATTTGTAGATCCAAAATTCCCAGACCATGTATACAAACTCAAGAAAGCTCTCTATGGGCTGAAACAGGCACCCAGAGCTTGGTACGATGCATTGACCGAATTTCTGATTGATTCAGGTTTCTCCAAATGAAAGATTGATACTACTCTGTTTATCAAGCGACAGAAATCTGACATCATTCTGATTCAGATCTATGTCGATGACATCATCTTTGCCTCATCAAATTCGCGCCTATGCCAACATTTTGAGAAACTGATGAAAATAAAGTTCGAGATGAGCATGATGGGTGAACTTAACTTCTTCTTAGGCCTGCAAGTAAGACAACTCTCTGATGGCATTTTCATCAACCAGTCCAAATACATTTTGGATATGACATTGAAGGCAAATCTTCCATGACGACCCCTATGTCCTATGGTTGGACTTGGGTCGGGCCACCCGGCCCGTGGACCGGACCGGCCCGCTACTGTGCGGGACCGGGACCGGCCCGGTTCTCAATTTTGGTGAACCGGCCCGGCAGGGTCAGGCCCGGGCCAAATTGATTTTTTTTATTTTTTTTTCATTTTTGGGGTTCCACCCAGGTTGGGCTTGATGGGTAGGATGGGTTTGAGGGGTTTGGGAGGGTGGGGGGTGATGGGGTGGTTAGGAAAGCAAAAAAAAATCCAAACCGGAGGCTCGGCCTGGCCCGGACCGGACCCGGTGGCTACCCGGGCCGGACCCGGTGGCTACCCGGGCCGGTCCCGGGTCCACTATTCTTGAACCGCCGGCCCGTCCGGGCCTAGGCCCGACCCGGACCCGGCCCGGACCCGAGTCCATCCCTACTATGTCCCCAAACAATAAACTGGACTCAGACCCTTCCGGGAAGCCAGTTGATGCTACGAATTATAGGGCCATCATTGTAGGTCCCGGGTCCACTATTCTTGAACCGCCGGCCCGCCCGGGCCTAGGCCCGACCCGGACCCGGCCCGGACCCGAGTCCATCCCTACTATGTCCCCAAACAATAAACTGGACTCAGACCCTTCCGGGAAGCCAGTTGATGCTACGAATTATAGGGCCATCATTGGGTCTTTGATGTATCTCACGTCGAGCAGGCCTGACATTGTTTTCTCCACATGCTTATGTGTTCGGTTTCAAGCCAATCCGAAGGAATCTCATCTGACTGTTGTACGTCGAATTTTAAGATATCTCAAAGGCACGGTGAATCTAGGCCTTTGGTATCCCAAGCATTCAGGCTTTGATCTAGTCGGATACTCGGACGCTGATTTTGCTGGTTGCCGGATGGACCGCAAAAGTACATCGAGAGCCGTCCAATTCTTGGGTGAGAAGCTAGCCTGCTAGTCTTCCAAAAAGCAGAATTGTGTGTCAACATCTACAGCTGAGGCCGAATACGTCGCGGTTGCTAGTTGTTGTTCACAAATATTATGGATGAAGACTCAGCTCCAGGACTACGGTTACACATTCCGCCATATCCCGATCTACAGTGACTCTCAAAGCGCCATCGACATCACAAGCAATCCGGTTCACCACTCCCGCACCAAACACATTGATATGCGCTATCATTTCATCAAGGATCACGTAGAGAAAGGAGACATTGATATGTACTTTGTAAGCTCAGAGCTTCAACTGGCTGACTTGTTTACTAAGGCATTGGATGAAAAAAGATTCCAGTTCCTGGTCTCCAAGTTGGGCATGTTGAACCTCGAGTCTGTTTAAATTTAATCTCCACCGGTCTGAAAAGTGTGTGTGTGGGACTTGTAAAAAGCGTGTGTGAGTGTGATCTGTAAATAGTGTGTGTGTGTTGCATGTGCTGAGGGGAGAAAATCCGAAAAAGAACAAAAAATAGTGTGTGTGCGTTGCATGTGTTGAGGGGGAGAAAATCCGAAAAAGAACAAAAAAATAGTGTGTGTGTTGCATTTGTACATATTATTTGTTGCATTTTGTTTTGGGGGGGGGGGGGGAGAAAAAGAAAATTCTCACTGTTTGAGGGGGAGAGCTCTAATTTTTACTGACTTTGGGCCTCTAAATCCTTCTAAATTGAAATTCTTTGCTAACCCATAAATTCGGGCTGAACTGTTAAGGCCCAACCTTTCTCGCGTATTTAAAGCCTCGCGAAAACGCTTCCGTCCCTTCTCACTGTTTTCTCGCTTTCAGCTTCTCGCAAACTCAGAGCTCCTCGACTTCTTCTAAAATTCTCTCCATCTCCAACTTCTCTCCATCTCAGTTTTTTGAAAAGGTAGTTTAACGGCGAACGTTTCTTGGCACCTCCCTTCTCCTTCGCCATCGCCATCTACTCTGTTTTCAAACGAAAAATCCTCTCGAAATCGTTCGTAAAAAATCAAAAAAAAAGCGATTTTTAAGTTTAATTTCAAGGTCGAAATCACAATGTATATCGGTTTTCGTATCTATTGCTTATGTTTTTGCAGGTGGAATCATCTTTTCGAGATTTTATGATCTCGAGATTCACTTCTCCAGATCTCGAGTTCGTTGATTCATTTTCGCGAGAGATCTCGAGATTTGAATCTCGAAATCTTGATCTCGAGATTTGGATCTCGAAATCTTGATCTCGAGATTTGGATCTCGAGATTTGGACTTGAACTGTTTTTTCTAAAAATCCACTTGCATAAATTGTCTGAATCCTGCAAAAACCAAAACTCTTTCAATCTAATCTCAGAGCAATCAAACCTTTGAATTAATATGCTGACCCCCTACTTTTACAGTTCATAATGGCAGGTACAACTCAAACACAGATTGACGACGCCATCTAGCCTAAGGGCAAGTGGGTCAAGGTGTTGGACAACAACTTCCAGCTAGACCTCAACGTCTTCAAGTGCCAGAATCCAGTCATTCCAGCCATAATGAAAGGTCACTATCTCTGGCATGCACTTCACAACGCCAAACCAGTGTCAGAGATATACCTACAACAATTTTGGGGCCACATGCATACTGAATCAGTGAAGGATCGCTCCAAAATCAAGACAAAACTGAATGGAATGCGCGTAATCCTGACGCCATCAACACTGCGATCTACACTAGCGCTGCCAGTTCACGACACGTATGATGCGTTGCCATCCATCCCTGATCTACTCAAAGACGTGGCATCTCTCGGCTACACCTCACTACTGCCACTACTGTCAAACTTCAACGGAGCCTATCTCCATCACCCGTGGAAGAGTCTAATCGGACTGGTGAATAAATGCCTGTCGCCAAAGCATGCCGGGTTTGACAAGTGCAACAAGCAGATCCTGCTAATCTTTCACGGCATTGCATTCAACAAAAACTACGACATGGCACAGCTCTTATTCTCAGAGCTGATGAACTTGGTCAAATCAAAGGAGAAAAACAGTCTAGGTACCATCCCATACGCAAGGTGGCTAGGGCTGATCATTCATGATTGCATGACAGAGCACACCTCCACCCCAAGCTGCAGTACTTCAAAGCAGATAAAAATCATGTCATGGGTCTGCGGATTCCTGGGTTTCTGCTCCAACTCGTCAAACCATCAAATCCGGCAGTGCAACAGTACCAAGAAAATATTGAGAGAACTGTCCATATGGTTCAGCAAAACCCAGTTGGACCTACCTCGAGGACAAAGCCGAGTGTAGGTAAGGGTCCTAAGAAAGTCCAGAAGCCACAGAAACCAATGGTCCGTTTGCCCCATGAAGGAAAGTCTGACGACTCTCTAGAGACGAGTCAGACGGCTGAGGGCACCGAAACAGACGATGAGGAATCTGCCGAGGAGTCATCGAGTGATGCCCAAACTAACACTGACGATGAGGCATCCGAGAGCGTGGGTACGGATAGCGAGGAGTCTGGCTCTGATGGTGGTGATAATGACAGTGATGACGTTGAGCACACATATGCTCTAATCCGAAAAAGAAAGTTGTCTGTCGAATCTCCAAAGAAGATCACTGCTGAAGACGCAGCACCAATAATCGCAGGCAGACCAAAACTCTTCACCATCAAAGAGCTGAAAACATCAAAAAGCGATCACAGAGAAACAAACAGCTCCAAGGATGACTATGATGAAGCAGCCCATAGATAAGGGCTAAGATTAAAAATGACAAAGCTGCTAAGTCAAAGCCCCAACCTCGCGTCAGAAAGAGCCTCATAGATAAGGCTGACGAGCACATATTCGCCGGATGTGATCCATTTATCCAGATAAGCCGAGCCGAATCCCTAAGTACAGGAGCCGATCTTTTCGGTTCCCGAGTAGAAGTCGCAGCATCTGGCTCAACTGCGCAAGCACAGCCCTCACCTAGCCACTCGATAGCCTCCCAACAGGCTATCGTTTCAAAAGCACGGGAATCAACCCCCTCACTGGTTCCTTCCGAATCAGTTGAGCGTATTATTGACCTATCGCCCGAGGTCAAAACCCCTTCTTCAAACACATCGAATCTAGGTGTCACATTTCCTACATTTTCTTCTTTTTCTAGGACACCTACACTATTCACAGCACATACAGGTGCACACACCCTGAACGCAACAATCAGAGCGCAAGCTATGACGGTTGGAAGTTCTTATATGCCCTCATTAATCCCATCATTGCACGCAGGCCACACATCAGCTATCTGCACTGATGTTGTGACAACAGTTACAACCCGCGTAACTAGACACCCAACCTTTGAAGACGTCAACGTTCTGCTAAATCGCTTCCTAGATTCCACCATCAAACCATGGGTGCAAGATGCAATGACCGCTCTAGCACAGGAATGTAGGACCACCCAAGCGGTTCAGTCTGAACAACCCCCACCCCAACCTTCACCCGAACCCTTCATCTCCCATACACAACCAGTATCCTCCACCCCCTATCTCACCAATCCATCAACCAAATACTCATTCTTTCACATTCTCGAGGAACTAGTATTCTCCCCACGCCCGACCACACCATCTATCGATCTCTCCTCACTACCTTTCGAAACCCTGGCATCGGCTTTGGTGGACCATCTTCTAAACATCCCTGAAGCCAATCTTACCCTCCACCAGCAAGCCATTCTCGAAGCACTCCTTTCTTTCCCTGAAACCAAAAGCAAATGCAAGGACAGTCCTCGTGGTCGCAAACGTTCCCATGAGGACCCCGATGATTCGGATCCTCATGAGGGGGAGAACAAGCGGCCACGACCACTTGAGCAAACTGCTTTAGCCAACCAAACTCCACAGCCCATTCAACCAGAAACCTCTACCAACCAACAGCCACCACCCGCAGCCAAAATCTCTAGCCTGGTCGAGCTAGACGCAATATCCCGAGGCGTATCTCCTAGAAATACTAACCGAGGAGGGGATGGAAGTCCTGATGATGCTACCACTGGTACATCTTTTACATCAGGCCATCAGTTAGAACTTAGTTCAAAGATGATGACAACGGGAAATCCTAGTGAATCGGGTATTTCGTTCAACAGGCCTCCATCTCCAAAAGGTCAACCTGCCACTACCATTCTGTCGTCAGATGAAATGCATGATCAACTAGAAGATATCATTATTCACGACAAATGGCCCAGACAGTGGACGGAGATGGATCAAATCATGCAGGATGAAGAATGTGAAGATATGCAGAGGAAATGGTTCCTACGAGAACTCATCAACAAATGTGCAGAAGATATTATCAGACTCGAGAACGATGAACGAAAGGAAGGGGAGAACTACAAGGAATCTCAGAAAGTACTTGAATCTGTCGTCAGACAATCGGCGGGAAGACTTCCTAGGACAGAGAAACCTTGGGACAATGTACGAATCAAAACCCTTTCCAAGAGGAAATCAGAGAGCATATTTGGCGTAGACCAGACAAAGTCAAACCATTGAATGAACTGAAACTGCGAGGTCTCACCCATCCCAAAGGAAAGCAGGCTGGAGGTCATCTACATATGTTGTTGCAAAGGTCAACCGGTACTCAAAGAAAGCTGATGGAACAAGATTTGAAATCCAACATTGATGGGAGTGAATTTACTTGCCAAGAAAATGATTTCATCATGCTTAAATCAGACGACATCTATCAAATGTTTATGGTTTATCGATACCTTCCAGTCAGACAAAGCAAAACATACGGCGAAGGCCTTACAGCAATCAAAAGATTCATGCTCAGACAAATCAGAGTGCACTCATCTCACGACCTACAGATGGCTATTGAGTGCAACTTGACAAAAACAAATCTTACAAAGCCAAGACTGTATGGTCCAGAACTCGAAGACTTTCCAGCTTACCACATCTTCTTCACACCGCCAGCAGTCACATATCTCAACCACAAGAACGAAAAACGTCTGATGGTGGTTAATGAAATTGAGAAATATTGTGGTGGAACGCTGAAGATAATCAAAGAACAGCTGCTAAAGATGAAGGAACAGCTAGAGCAAAATCTTCAGGAGGCATCGTCATACGTTCAAAAGGAACACTCTACAGTGGAGACCATTTTAAAAGCCATCGACGATCGCCTAGAAAAGAGAAAATGCTAAGGCAATACGAGCATGCACTGAATATGAGGAAGCACTATTTCAAATCACAGAAGCAATAACTAAGTGGCACTTGATCACAAAGGGGGAGATTGTTGAAGATCATTTAATTGTGAATCAAGTTTGTCATTTATCTTGTAATAGATTAGCTTTATTATTATTCATTGTATTAAATAAGTGCATTTATTAGATAGAATATGGGACAAGTGTTAGGCCCATACAAACAGGCTAAAAGCCTTTCACGCCTACCTGAACCTCGCCTATAAAAAGGGAGCCGAGGGTTCAGGTTTAGGTTAACTTTCGTACTTATTCATTATAGCCTTAAGCGCAAATCATTCTGTGTACGAGTTCACGGTATATCAAAGAGGGTTTTACATCGATTCATCTGTGTTCATCCTTACGTTTAATCTTCTTTGTTATACTACTATTCATTGTTGTTACAGAAACAGGGACTATCAACAAAATTTATGAACATAAAAGCTGAATACGGTCTTCTTGAAATTTGCATGACTAGAGTCTTACAGTCAGTAAGCGGGATGCTACCACGTCATCATAACCTCCCTGATTCATATTACCAAATGAAAAAATAATGTCTAAGTTGAGGCTACCTTGTATAGAAATTGATGCGTGCCCAGAAAAATATATGTTGTTTGGAAGGATGATGAGACACTTGAATTCTACAAGTTCTGAGGTGGAAAAAGATAGAAACCTGTTTCTCAAAGTAAAAACAAACCACGAAATAGGTCAGCATTATCTAAAATGTATTACCTCCCAATAGCTCCACGACTTCAGAGGATGTACGTTTCGACTGCTACTGCAAAACACATGACATGGCATGTCGAGCATGAAATTAAAGAGGATATGATGTCTCACCCTTCGGACTGTGAAGCTTGGAGACACTTTGACCGTTGTCATCCTCAGTTTGCAATGGAGCCACGAAATGTGCGACTAGGATTGTGTTCAGACAGATTTGCTCCATTTGGAAGGTTTGGGAAGAACTATTCATGTTGGCCGGTCATGACAGGATTATAGAGGAGGGGGTAAGTTCTGACAAGATGGAGAAAAATCGGGTTGTCCCTAAGCCTTCAAAGATGCATGCTAAAGTGCCACAAAAGGAACCCACTGTGTCAGAAAAAATCAGCTGCCACGCAAGCTGCCAAACCGACAACCTTGTCGGCTACAAGGGCTGCCACGAAAGATGCCAAGCATGCTAGAAAGGAGATTTGGCCCAGAATCGAGTACCCGCCCGGGTATCCTTAGATAACCAGGTTTCATGAAAAAAAATTAAAGGAGGTAGGTTCCATTTTGTGTGCTGCTGATTTCTCTTGGGTTGATTTATGGTGATTTTTAAATTACTGATTTTATGATATGGGGGATGTCCCATTCTGATGCATTATATCTAGCTTAGATAATCATTTGATTTGGATTGATGCATTGTATTATGCTATTTTCTAGATGTATATATATATATTTACATTTTATCAAAAAAATGATACTAACAGAGGGTCCACAATCCCACGGCTATTGATCTGTAAATTAAAACATGATAATATTGGGTAATTATTAAAAAATATTACTTAAAAATATATATAATTAATGTGTGTATATATATATACTGATACTTGTATCACAGTACAAAATCAGAGTCCACCATTGCATCAATTTCATTATCAGGGAATGCTGAGAACTCCGTTCTAAATTCACTGTGAAGTCAAACATGAAAATAATATAAATCAACTACCTTAATTGTATATATATTAAAAATATAACTACAAATTTAACTTACTGATAAAACACTAAGATTTCAAGAAAATTCATGAGGATATAAGTATGCGAAATTTGTAATTCTCCACCCACGATGTATCGGTTTGTGGCAGCTCTTTTACCTCTACCTGGGTAATTGAAAATGAAAACTACATTTTCGTATAAATTCTCGCAAATGTCATCGTTCCGGACAGGTATCTTTCTTCTAGTGATGACTTCACGCTCAAAATAAAAAGATGAGAACGTTGAGATTTCTTGTTGAATATACGCTTGAAAAATTGAAGCCTCAACGTGTGCCTTGTTGGTCACTTTCTTATTCAACCCTCCAAGAAATCTGCAATATAAAATAAAAGTGATAAACAGATGGAGGCATTATATTTTCCAAATTACACATCAACATGGGAACATACTCTTCTAGTCTCCGGAGGGATGCTGCATCCAAAATGCTGGAACATATCGACTGAAACAACAAACTGATTTCAGTAATGCTGGACCATACGTGTTCAGGAAGCATCTCTTTCAGTGCAATTGAGAGAAGTCTTTGCATGATTACATGAGCATCGTGAGTTTTCATGCTCGACGTCGTTGTAAGTTTGCTCATGTCCAGGCATCTGGACAAGTTAGCGCAGTAGCCATCTGGAAACTTCAGAGACACAAGTCATTGTAATATTTATTCCTTTTGTGCTTCTGTGACTTGGTAGACTGTTTTTGGAATATTGTTACCCTGATATTCTAGATCAACAGAAAGTTCGGGTCTGGCATACCAAATATTCATATCTTTTCTAGATGCAAGACCGTCTTTAATTTTGCCTTTGAAAACAATCATTGTGTTAAATATATTGTCAAACATGTTCTTCTCAGTGTGCATGACATCTATATTGTGACGAATGAGAAGGTCTTTCCAAAATGGTAACTCCTAAAATATACTCCTCTTTGTCCGCATATGGGTATCACAAAACCCATATGACTTTTTTTTTTGCTCTTGCACAGCCGTAGGAACACGTTAAACCCGATTAAAAATTGCTTCCCCGGTCAATCTCGGGGGTGGGGTGTCTCGTATTACTCTACCTCTAATGAAAGATTTTGTCCTTTCGATATCGGTGGTTTTCCGGGAGAAACTTGCAGTGACAATCAAAGTAACTTGATTTTTTACAGAAAGTTAGCCAATTGGCATCTGATTTCTCCATGCATATCGTACATCCCATAAAACCATGTGTGCTCCACCCCGAAAGTATGTCATATGTAGGGAAGTCGGTAATGGTCCAAATGATGGCAACTTTCATTATAAAAATTTTAATCCCTTAAAACATCATAAGTTGGTGTCCAGATGGCCCAAAATTCTTTCATCTCCTCGATAGAGGTTGGAGATTGGGATCCGGACAATTTAAAGTCAAAAAGATAAAGTGACTTAACATGACCGGCCAACATGAATAGTTCTTCCCAATTCTTCCAAATGGAGCAAATCTGTCTGAACACATTCCCAGTCGCACATTTCGTGGCTCCATTGCAAACTGAGAATGACAACGATCAAAGTGTCTCCAAGCTTCACAGTCCGAAAGGTGAGACATCATACCCTCTTTGGTTTCGTGCTCGACATGCCATGTCATGTGTTTCGCAGTTGATGTCCATGCGTACATCCTCTAAAGTCGTGAAGCTATTGGGAGGTAATACAGTTTAGATAATGCTGACTTATTTCGTGGTTTGTTTTTAGTTTGAGGAACAAGTTTGTATCTGTTTCCACAACAGAACTTGCAGAATTCAAGTGTCTCATCATCCTTTCAGAACAACATACATTTTTTCGGACACACTAAAACATCTTGATATTTCTCAGCTAAACCTTCATCCACATAAGATTGATAAAGTATCAGATTTTCATCCTCATCTGGTTGATACGAGGTCGAGGCTTCAGCAAGATCGTTAGATGGTTGTGAGGGGTTGAACTGAGACATCGATGCACCGTATGCACATATACCATACGTTGCTCTCATCTCATTTCAACAGGGTCTACCCACGCACTCATCTATGCAGGGACGTTACGAGACGAACCTACCGTTTGTGGTAAAACAGATGGATCCAAAGGTTCGTCATAGGGAGTCCAATTATAATAATTGGGAACGAAACCGCCCACGTACAAATCCCACCTAACTTCGTCTGGGTGTTTAAATTTGAGTTTTTTACACTTTGAACATGGATATCTGATTTTATCACCACTCATATAAGTCGGGTGTACAATACCGAATGTTTATCATACATCCAAAATCTATTTTGTCAATACATTATGCTTGAATATTATAATAAAAAAATATACAGGTTAAAAACTCTGAATTATATAAACATTACCAACATATGTGGAGTATTATTAATATATTAAATTTCACTAATTAAAGTTTAATGCAATTAATTCACTAGAACTAATATGTCAATATAATCTCATTAATCATTTCAACAATAAATACACTAAATTATTACGTTAATGGCATTAATTAACTCATAAACATTAACAATAATTTTTTACGTGTCGAAACATATAAATATTAAATTTCACTAAGATTCCCTAAAATTAACTAACGTCCGATTAATATTATTTATATATTAAATTTCACTAAGATTCTCTAAAATTAACTAACGTCCAATTAATATTATTAAACTAGAAACAATACGTTAATGACATTTAATCCACAATACTAAAATTATCAACATCTTAATCTTATTAATAATATACATTTAACAATTCACTAAATTAAATAATATGAGCAAATCCAATAATTTGAGCATATATATATAAACTCATTTGAATTAAATAATACTTAAATTTAACTAATACTATAAAAAAATTAACTAATTTACGTAATTCACAATAATAATTAATCACACTTAAGTAATGTTTCAATTAACTAATCCTAATTTAAATCATTATAAATCCTAAATTAGGCATTAACAATAATTTCTAATAAACAAATCCTATAATTATATCTAAGCATATATAAACTCATTTGACTTAAATAATACTTACATTTAACTGATATCATCTATAATTTAACTAATTTACGTAATTTTAATTAAATACAACTTAATTAACCCTATGTTTACATTACACCTACTTTTAACTAATTTTAACTAATTTATTTCGTTAATTAATTAACAACATTTTTTTTAAATGCATTTAGTTTAAATTTAACTAATATTAACAAAAATTTAACTAATTTAGCTAATTAATTAATTTAACCTAATGCGTCACTACGATTAAACCTATGTTTAACTAACTAATTTTTCACTAAATTAAATGAAATTTACATAATTCGTTACTTATTTAATAATTTCTCTAATTTAACAGTTTATTACATTTAAAATGAACCAACTAATTCATACAAAGAACGTAATTCAAATTACATACCTAATCTGCATAAACTGGGAAAACGATATAAGATGGCTAGATTACATCCTTCAATTCAATCTTTTAAACAGTGTGTGGTTGTGTTGGATGAATCTTTTGTTGCATATATAAAATAATTAGCCACGGACGTAGTCACTACGTTAATTCGTACAAATTACCAGTACATATTAACTTTGGAACGTTGGAAAATTTAATTTTGGATGTTGTCACGGAATAATTAGTGACCAAGTCCTAGTTTGAAAAAAAATCGCCGGAAAGACAACGAAGATTTAGGCTTAAGTTTAGTCACGGAATCAGTCACGAATTGGATTGGCCGGAATAGGTTTGTCACGGAAGTAGTAACGGTCATATCTGTGACTACTTTTTTTTTAATCTGTGACTAGCACGTGACTAGATCCGTGACTAACTAGTCACGGACTAAATTCGTGACTACAGACGTATTTTTTTGTAGTACAACATTTTTCAGAGGAAAATTGTTGTTTTTATTCAGGGAGAAAAATCTAAAAAGGATAATTTTCATGGATAAAAAGGAAGATATGGTGTTCAGGGCGGAGCCAGGAACTAGTGTCATTGGTGTCAATTTATAAAAAATTATCTATGCTATACATTGAATTTTTGTTTTTCAGTGGTGTCAATTTAAATTCAGTGGTGTCAATTGAAACCACCACCTCAAAGGGTGGCTCTGCCCCTGGTTGTGTTTACCTAAAGGAAAATTGGGTACAAGGTCATATCAGGACATTCACATGGATTGATCCTTCAAAGTCTTTGGCTTTTAAACTGAACAAATATCTTTGGATAAATTTTATGCATAGTAGATACAAAGGGTGCTAGTAGATTAAGATGTTGATTATTTTAGTATTGTGGATTAAATGTCATTAACGTATTGTTTCTAGTTTAATAATATTAATTGGACGTTAGTTAATTTTAGATGATTTTAGTGAAACTTAATATATAAATGTTCCTGCACATAAAAAATTATTGTTAATGTTTATGAATTAATGTCATTAACATAATAATTTAGTGTATTTAGCGTTGAAATCATAATATTGGTTATTAGTTAATAATTGAAATGATTAATGACATTATATTAACATATTAGTTCTAGTAAATTAATTGCATTGAACTTTAATTAGTGAAATTTAATATATTAATAATAATAATAATCCACATATGTTGGTAATGGTTATAATTCAGAATTTTTAACCTGTATATTTTTTTATTATAATACTCAAGCATAATGTATTGACAAAATAGAATTTGGATGTATGATAAACATTTGGTATTGTACGGAATGCAATCAAATTTTCTTGAAGGAGTTGCGGAGTTTATTGCATTCACACTTGAACACCCGGCTTATATTAGTGGTGATAAAATCAGATGTCTATGTTCAGAGTGTAAAAATCTCAAATTTAAACACCCAGACGAAGTTGGGTGGGATTTGTACGCGGACGATTTTGTTCCCAATTATTATAATTGGACTTCTCATGACGAACCTTTGGATCCGTCTGTTTTACCACAAACCGTAAGTTCGTCTCGTAACATCCCTGCAGAGATGAGTGCGTGGAAAGACCCTGCTGAAATGAGATGGGAGCAACGTATGGTATATGACGCATACGGTGCATCGATGTCTCAGTTCAACCTCCCACAACCATCTAACGATCCTCCTGAAGTCTCGACCTTGTATCAACCAGATGAGGATGAAGATCCGATATTTTATCAATCTTATGTGGATGAAGATTTAGCTGAGAGATTTCAAGATGTTTTAAAAGCTGGCGATCAACCCATGTATGCTGATTGTGAGGGATATTCTCAGCTATCCGCCGTTACAACGTTTATTAACATAAAATCTGAATACAGTCTCCCTGAAACTTGCATGACTAGAGTCTTGCAATCACTAAGCGGGATGCTACCACGTGATCATAACCTCCCCGATTCATATTAGCACAAGAAACAATTATTGTCTAAGTTGAGGCTACCTTGTATAGAAATTGTTGCGTGCCCAGAAAAATGTATGTTGTTCTAGAAGGATGATGAGGCACTTGAATTTTACAAGTTCTGTGGTGGAAAAAGATACAAACATGTTCCTCAAAGTAAAAACAAACTACGATATAGGTCGGCGTTATCTAAACTGTAATACCTCCCAATACCTACACGACTTCAGAGGATGTACGCTTCGACTGCAACTGCAAAACACATGGCATGGCATGTCGAGCACGAAATCAAAGAGGGTATGATGTCTCACCCTTCGGACTGTGAAGTTTGGAGACACTTTGACCGTTGTCATCCTCAGTTTGCAATGGAGCCACGAAATGTGCGACTGTGATTGTGTTCAGACGAATTTGCTCCATTTGGAAGGTTTGGGAAGAACTATTCATGTTGGCCGGTCATGTTAACTCCTTACCATCTCCCTCCCAACATGTGGATGAAAAGTCACTTTATGTTTTTGACTTTAAATTGTCCGAGTCCTAATGATCCAGGAAAAAAGATAGACATTTATCTCCAACCTCTATCGAGGAGATAAAAGTGTTTTGAGCCATTGGGGCACCAACTTATGATGTTTCAAGGGATTAAAATTTTATCATGAAAGCTGTCATCATTTGGACCATTAGCGACTTCTCTGCAAATGACATGCTTTCGAGGTGGAGCACATACGGTCTTATGGGATGTCCGATATGTATGGAGAAATCATATGTCAATTGGCTAACTTTCAGTAAAAAATCAAGTTACCTTGATTGTCACCGCAAGTTTCTCTTAGAAAACCACCGATATGGAAAGGACAAAAAGTCTTTCATTAGAGGTAGAGTAGTACGAGGTACCCCACCCCGAGAGTGATAGGAGAAGCAATTTTTAACCGGGTTTGACGTATTCCTGCGGCTGTGCAAGAGCCAAATAAGAAGCCATATGGATTTTGTGATACCCATAAGTGGATAAAGAGGTGTATATTTTGGGAGTTACCATATTGGAATAACCTTCTCCTTCGTCACAATATAGATGTCATGCACACCAAGAACAACGTGTTTGACAATATATTTACCACAGCGATTGATTTCAAAGGCAAAACTAAAGACGGTCTTGCTTCTAGAAAAGATATGACTATTTGGTGTGGCAGACCCGAACTTTCTGTTGATCTAGAATATCAGGGTAACAATATTTCAAACGCAATCTACCAAGTCACAGAAGAACAAAAGGAATCAATATTCCAAAACTTCATAGACTTGTGTCTCTGAAATTTCCAGATGGCTACTTCTCCAACTTGTCCAGATGCAGCATCCCTCCGGAGAGTAGAAGAGTCTGTTCTTATGCTGATGTGTAATTTGGAGAAGATGATGCCTCCATCTGTTAACACTTTTATATTACATTGCAGATTTCTTGGAGAGTTGAATAAGAAAGTGACCAACAAGGCACACATTGAGGCTTCAATTTGTCAAGCGTATCGTCAACAAGAAATCTCAACGTTCTCATCTTTTTATTTTGAACGTAAAGTCATCACTAGAAGAAAGAGACCTGCCAAGAATAATGACATTGGCGAGGATTTATACGAAAATGTAGTTTCTATTTTTAATTACCTAGGAAGAGGTAAAGGAGCTGCGACAAACCGATACATCATGGATGGAAAATTACAAATTGCGCATACTTATATTCTCATTAATTATCCAGAAATCTTACTGTTTTATCAGTAAGTTAAATTTGTAGTTATATTTGTAATATAAATACAATTAAGGTAGTTGATTTATAATAATTTCATGTTTGACTTCACAGTGAATTTAGAGCGGAGTTCTCAGCATTCCCTGATAATGAAATTGATGCAATGGTGGACTCTGATTTTGTACCGTGGTACAAGTATCAGGTATATATATATATATACACACACATTAATTATATATTATTAAGTAATAATTTTTAATAATTACCCAATGTTATCAAGTTTAATAATATACCGTGGTACAAGTATCCAGAAAATAGCATAGTAGACTAAGGATTATCAGCAGCACACAAAACGTAACCTACCTCCTTTAATTTTTTTTCATGAAACATGGTCGACTAAGGATATCCGGGCGGGTACTCGGTTCGTGCCCAAATCTCCTTTTCATCCTTCGTAGCAGCCCTGGCAGCCGACAAGGCTGCCGGCTTGGCAGCTTGCGTGGCAACCGGCGTGGCAGTTGGTTTTTCTGACACAACGGGTTTCTTTTCAGACACTTTAGCATACATCTTTGAAGACTTAGGGACAGACCGAATGTTCTCCAT